CGTTTTCCAGGCCAAGGACAACCCAAACTGATGGCAAGATGAAGCGGGGAACCCCTAATTATATATAGTATCAAATTGTGTTATATTAAACTGGTCCTATAGTCACTCTATTACAGAAGGAGTAATGTAATGAAAGTAATTTCGCCCTGGGATTATTAAAGTATTTCTGATTCCTCATTGATGGGACAGGTGTTGTGAATGAAACGGTACACAGCTCCTGTGTGTCGCTGAATGTGTGCATTGATGACTGAAAGACATCTTCTGCCTCCATTTATCTGTTTACTAAAGTGTGTTGAATTCATGTTAATGTGGATTTAAAGACATTTCAAATGTCAAAATTTGCAGGGGAGGAATTGAAATAAAGTCCAATCAACCAAAACTTTCGCGACCCCCATGCAGTACCTCCGTGGACCCCCTAGGGGTTGCGGACCACCTGTTGAAGACCTCTGCTTTATATCATCTGGCAATGTTCAGCCAATCATATAGAGTAACGTCACGTCTGTGGCTCTGTTCAGGTGTTATGAGACTACAGGTTGCTCTGATTGTGGCCTTCACCTCTTCTGCTTAGGTTTTGGGGTATTGCAGCTTCCTCTTCATAATTCCCCATTTATTTTCTATGTATTATAAGGTCAGAGGAGTTTGCTGGCCAAACAATAACAGGGAAACCATGGTCCTTAAACCAGGTACTGGTAGCTTTGGAATTGAAGGCGCCAATTCCTGCTGGAAAATGAGATCTGCATCTCCATAAAGTTGGTTAGCAGCAGGGAGGATTAGTGCTCTAAAAATTCCAGTATGATCATTGCGTTGACTTCGTGCCCCAGAAAGCACAGTGGACCAACACCAGCAGATTGCATTGCACCAAGGAATTGGGGGGAGGGGTGGTCTAGTGGTTAGGGAGCTTAGAATCCTGAGGTTCTGGGTTCGATTCCCACTCCCACAGACTGCCAGTCCTTGAGGAAATATTAGATGGGTTAAATGCATGCATGAGAGTTAATTTCGTTGCTCCTTACTTGTGACAGAGAAACGAAACAGTCAAAAGTACACTGCCACTCAGCAACAGCAGTCCAGACCTGTCTGCCTGTCTTAGCCTAGTAGATGCTTCTAACGCTCCCTCTTGTTTAAGACCAGCTTGATACAAGGAGTGTCACAGGTGTGCATGGAAATCCTTGAAGCACTGACTCCAGCTGCGGCCTACTCTTTGTGAATCCTCCCTTCATTTTTGAATGATCTTGTTTCTAAATCTTCTCTGCGGTGCAGTTATCCCTCCTACTTGCAGAATTTTTTTCTACCACATCTTTTCCTTCCCCTCGCCTCTCTATTAATGTGCTTGGACACTGAGCTCTGTGAACAGCCAGCCTCTTTAGCGATGACCTTTTATGTCTTGCCCTCCTTGTGCAAGGTGTCACTGGTCGTCCTGACAACCCTCAAGTCAGCAGTCTTTGCCATGATTGAGTACTGAAAGACCCTCTAATGGCTGTTGCATTCGTTTTGAGTTAGTAAGCTGATTGGAGAGCGGCACGTGTCTTCAATATTGGACTTTTTCACATTATTTGGATTTTCAGAGAACCTAAATTTAGGAGTAAAGCCTAATCCAGTGAAATAAAAATTTGAAATATATCAGTCTGAGTGTAAACAATGAGTGCAATGTACAAGTTATACATTTTTAATAGAATTACTGAAGTGAATTACAATTTTCATGATATTATATGACTATTACCTGTACATCTATATCTATGGGAGAAATGTGTGGAGGTCTAGCCTCGAAGAAAAACCTAATTAAATTAGAATCCAGGAATATTTAAGCCTGATTAAACATTCAGATCAAATATAGACAGATTTTTATATATTGTATCAGAAAAAGTAGGAAGTTTCAAAGTAGAAAGTATATTAAAACCCAAATATAGATTGTTCTAAATTCCTCCCCTCGAATGACATGAAATCAGTTAGATAAAGCCTCTATGGGGCCCACCACAAAATTTGATTTTTGGGCCCTTTATTTCTAGCCTCGTGAGACCATGCTGATCTCACGAGCTTTCAAGGTTTCACTCACAGATCAGTCTGGAGACTCTCCGTGAAAGAAAATTTGGAGCCGTTCACCAAACGAACGTCCAATCAGCGTTGGCTTTGAGGCGGGTTGAGGTGTGACGCTACAAGAAGCGCGAATGTTCAGTCTAAAGAACATGGCGGCTTCAGCCGATGAAACTAGCGTTAGCGTGGCTATGGAGCAAGTTTTATCGGAATTTCAGAGTATTTCTTCACTGAAAGAAGAGCAAAACACTGCTCTGGAGGCTTTTCTCAGAGGAAAAGATGTTTTTGCTCTTCTCCCGACTGG